AGGTAAACTGTGGAAATGATCATTAAAATGACACTCACCATCATTAAAGAACAAAGAGGAAGAAGAGAAAGAAGCTGATTTCACAATGATGTCTTACATTTATTGAATACTTAAAATATGTAAGATCTCTCTACATGCTCCATAACTACCCTAAAAAGAAGGTAACTAATATCCTTCTTTCCCCTGTTGCTCCCTATAATCTAACTTCCATGCAGTAGCCAGTTTTGAAAATCTAAGTCAGGTGATAGCTCTCCAGACTCCCAGCACATGTATATTAATCCTCTCATGGCTCACCACTGTCCTCAGAATAAAATCCAAGCTGTTTGTCACAACTCACATTTCTCTCTGACCTTTTTCTTCATTCTCCATAATCTGACTCACACCGCTGGCCCTTCTTCCTTCAGATGTCCCATGTCTGTGGCTGCCTTGAGGTCTCAGCCCTTACGGTTCCCTTTTTTTGGGGGGGTTCTCTTCTTCCTTGTCACCTCTGGTTTTCTTCCTCCCATTAATGTTCAACTTCAGTCGCCCCCTCATCAGCACAGCTTTCTCTTGCTTCTTGATCTAAAATAATCCCCCAGCCTCCCACTATCACTGCACCCATTTTTCTTCTTCTTAGCATTTAATATTCTCTGAAATTATCTTCTTTACTCATTTATGTACTTATTTATTAGTCTTTCCTGCTCCATTGAGCTAGTGTCTCTTCCCCATTTCTGTCTCCCTTACCTGCCTTGTAGAATGTTTATCCACAGTAGACACTCACTGGATGTTTGTTGAATTGGTAAATGAATAGTAAGTAAATGTTTGGACAAGTTAGGACAGTGTATGACTGTCTGGGATACTGATATGTATGAAGTTCTGAGAAATGTTATTTGGGGGCACAAAGAATAGATGTACAGGATAGAATTGTTCCTTCCTTCAGTGGTTCACAATGCTTTGGAAGTGAGCATGATACAAAAAAAAATGGATTGTTTCTTCCTTCTTCAAAAGTAAGCAACATTTAAGGATTCTAAAAGCAAAAGTAGGTGGCATATATTTAAATAAGAAGGGGCTATTAAATCTAAAATCTACCCATCATCACCATATTCAAGAAATTAGGTGCATTCCAAAATTAAAGGTGGGAATTCAAGAGTTATCTACTTCATGCTATAGATACACAAATTAGCAACTATTCGGTGAATTAGGTGTTGACACACAGCATGCATAATGTGTTGATATTTAACTACATACTGTTACCATTTGTATATCATAGTTTTAATACAATTTTTTAGTAGAAAAATTATTTACAGCCAAAATGCCCAGAGGCAAGGAAAAAAAAAACCCAAAGAAGAAAAACTCTTTGTCACTGGTAGTTTTTTTTTTTTTAAGATTTTTTTTTTTTTAATTCATTTGAGAGAGAGAGTGTGTAAGCATGAGCATGGGGGAGGGGCAGAGGGAGAGGGTGAGGGAGAAGCAAGACTCCCTGCTGAGTGCAGAGCCTGATGCAGGGCTCAATCCCATGACACAGATCATGACCTGAGCTAAAGTCAGATGCTTAACTGACATAGCCACCCGGGCTCCCCTGTCACTGGTAGTTTAAGGACAGTTTGACACAAAAAGAAAGGAAAGGGTACTTCTCTATGCTCAATCTCTTGCAGAGGGCTATAGGATCACATGTAAAAGATATGCATTGCTAAGTCATCATGGTAAAAATTCTGCGTGACTGAAAAAGGGCTTAAAAATCACTGGCCTTCATCTCTCTGGAAATTCCTGATTGTTGATTGTGTTTTCACTGTGGGAAAGACTAACACATGTTTGTAGATTAGGAACATATGGGTCTCATTTTAGGGCTAGTGAGACTAAAGAGTTAATTGTGTATACATGTCATTCGTCATCAGTCGGTCAATCAGGCAACTAATACCTTTAGGGGTCATGAATCTAACAGGACTGACGATGACAGGCAAGCTGATAGTCCACAACCTGCCACCTAGACCACAGGTTGTGTGAACCGTGCCATTACTTGCGGGGGCAGATGGCACAGAGGAAGCTGAGCTCCTGGGTATCCCTGACTCCAGAGCTGCAGCAGTCCTCTGGAAGAAGCAAAGGCAACCTCTCAGGCACTTGTTATTTCTGTTAGCAACGGCCAGTCCATTTCACACAAGATCAGGGTGTAAATGGGATCACACATGCTGAAGCAGAAAGGGACCTTGGGGCTCACCTAAACCAACCCCACATTTGACCAATGCAGATAGTGAGCGCCAGAGTAAGTGGCACCATTGTGATCAGAACCCACATTTCTAAAGATTTATTTGTTTATTTGAGAAAGAAACAGAGAGAGAGTGAGCGAGCACGAGAGAGTGCGCATACGCATGGGGGAGAGGCAGAGGAAGAGAGAGAGAATCTCAAGCAGACTCCCTGCCGAGTGCAGAGTCTGATTTGGGGCTTGATCTCACAGCCCTGAAATCACAACCTGACCTGAAACCAAGAGTCAGATGCTTAAGCGACTGTGCTACCCAGGCACCCTGCACATTTCTGACTCATAATCCAATCTTTGGTTTACTATATAGTGTGTCATTTTAAAGTTAAGCATCTGACATACATCTGTTCTTTTAAAAAGAGACAGTAGAGAGAAACAACAACAACAAAAAATCAAAGTAATGCCATTTAAAAGCATGTATAAAAATAAATTAATGTTTACTCCATTGGTTTTCAACCAGAGGTCTAGTTCAGAATCACCTGGAAAATTTTAAAAAGGACACATGCCTAATCCCCACAACAGACTACTGGATCAGAATCTCCAGACTTAGCCACCATACATGTTTGATTTGAAAAAACATCATATGATTTCAATATACAATTTATATCAACAATGGGGAAAATCCTCCTCTTTTACAAACACTGAATAGGAAAATAAAAATTACAACATCCATAGTTTAGACAAGTATCAAACCCCCTCTTTTCTACCAGATGCTGCACCACTTCAAGCATCTTTACAATCATTTAGCATAAATAGACTGCATTGTGTCCAGATGCAGATACATACAATGGCTCTATTCCAATTATAAGTTTGGATGGGAAATAGTGAGAGCAGAGAAAACAAAAGAACCCACGGGAAATTCTAAAACCTCCTTTCCGTCAAGAATTCCCAGGACTTCCTCACCCACCAAATCCTTTAGGCAATCTGTTTCCAAGGATTTAGGCTGGCCAGTTTGATCTTTGTATCCCTGAACTCCATTTGGCACAGATAAGAGTGAAGAGCGAGGTCAAGATAACAGAGCAAGAAGAAAGGAGAAAAGGAAAAAAGGGCCCGGGAGATACACAAAGGAAATCATGAATCCTTAAACACGCCAGAGGGGCCCAGAAGGAGGAGACGAAAAATTGACCTTCAGAAAATTGAAATGGCAGCTGAAAAATTGTGAATGATACTTGCCCACGTTGTGGATTAAGGGCAAGAGTTCAACATTTCTTTTACACTGAATTTAAGAATAGTAGACACTAAAGAAAAGTTGTTATTTCAGCATATGGCAGATTATAAAGAGCATCTCTGACATTTTTGATGGAGGCCCAAGCATTCCCCTGAAGAGGATCTGCCTCCCTCACAGGGTAGGGTAAGAGGAAGCCAACTACCAACCCCAAGTCTGAGCGAGGGGCCATGGCTTAGAAGGGTCACTAGTTTGGAAAATTAAACTAGTTTCCAACCTCGCCTCTTCTGCCTTAATGTTTTATTTACAGGGGTTCAAGTTCTCTTGCTTAGGGCAACAGAACAAAAAAGAGAGGAAACACAACTACTTGGTGACATTCTTGCTGTTCTATCACGGTTTGGTTTCCTGGCAGCTATTGACACCCTTTGTCCCAGCCAGGAGTAATCCAACGAAGCCACCGCATTTGTTCACAAAAGGAAGGTCTTCCTATTGGCGAGCATGCAGTGGGAGTCCACTGTTTTGTGTCTGGTCTCTCTTTTAACAGCCATGCCTTTCAGTGACATCACTCACAGCCCTGAGATATGACTGCACTTCCCCGGCTGCCTGAGAGTAAAGCAAAGGTTACCTTCTATCTCGCAGGCCGTGTTGTCATCAAAGAGCTCTATTTCACAGATGTGACAATGCAATAAATAAGATTTTCTCCAAGTGTGCAGAAAGGCCAAAGCAACCTTTACAACGGGAAACCAATGAGGTGGCAGGATTCAAGGAGCCTCCCTAACAGATAACAGGGTTGGCCGCCTCTGATACCATCCCACCCTTCGGCAAAGAGTGACTGCTTTGTCTTCAACTTTATCTTTGTTTTGTTCTTGGGGACTCAAAATAAAACAAAGAAAAAGACCCTTTCACCCGCAATGGATGGGCAGAATATGGCTGTCCACTAGCTACGGATAAAGAGACTGACTTCATAATGCCTTGGATTTCACAGAGACTTAGAAAAGTAATTTGATAGAGCCTTAATGAGAATCATGGTGAGGGTTTTAAAAATTAAATAGTCTGGAAAGCATTCATAAACCTTTGTGGAAGTATTCTTTTGGGCACGATTGTATTTCCATTAGTTTGGCCCAAGAATATTTACTAATTGGAGTTAGGGGCTCAAGTCAAGTCTTTCATTAGCTGGGAGGAAGCCATTCTGTCCTTCAAGCAATGACAATGGCACTTCATAACGAAAAGTAGGGTTCTGTATGACACTGCTGGTGTCTAAGTGTCTCAGAATAAACCAGCTTCAAGTATTACAGCAGGTAGAAAATACCAGCTTCCCTTCCTTGGTCCATTTCAGCAAATGTTTACTTCATGGGAAAAGAATAGGTCCACTCTTGAGCACTCTCAAAATCCCTTTGCCAACTAAAACCAACACCAAACCCAGACCAAAGCAAAACATTCCAAACGGTGTTCTCCTATATCACCATGGTGAACAGGCTCTAACGTAAAGTAAACATACAAGCAGACAGGAGGTTTTCCTGAATGTGATAGCTTGACAAAGGAGAGGTGAACAAGGTGCCATGTGAGAGCTAATCTCTGAAATGCTTTATTTCAGGGGTGCAGAGGAAGGTGAGGAGTGAATCTACATCACAAGATGATTCATGGGTGCTCAGTGCTATGTGTTCATCACGTAGATGGTGCTGTGTTCAGCCCTTCCGTTTGCTCACCCGGTCGCCCGTGTCACTGCTGGTTTGTTCCACGAAGGCGTTCTTAGCCGGGGACCCCTCCACATGCCATGTGAAATTCCTACCAAGAAGCCCTGATGTACTACCTCTGCTGCAAAAGAAGGGGAAAGAAAAATATTTTTCTGGTCTCTCTCAAACCTCTTAATTTTCCAGATATTCCAAGAGCTGTTTTCTAAATTTCCCCATTTCTCCAGCTCTGTGGCCCCACCTTATTTTGTCTAAGGAAGAAGCAAAGCACAATGAACAGAATATGGATCTGGGGATCAGTCCCTTCTCTGGGGTTTTCTAGATGTGGGATCTTGAAAAAAAATCACTTAGCCCTGGAACCCTAACTTCTACAACTGTGAAATGGAGATGATTGTGCTGATGGGTTATTCTGATGGTAACTGAGATAATTTGGGAAAAATCTGGTCACGTTGCTTGACAGGTAGAAGGAAAACAGTGCACATCACGGCCTTTCCTTTTCCTGAGATTATCCAACTCTATTTTTGGTGGGAGTGGGCATCATTCTCTAATTAACATTTACTTTTTTGAAAGGTGGAGATATTGAGGCCAGGCGGTTGGAGAAGGACAGAGAGATCTTTTTGACATTGATTCGGGTGCGTATCTCCTCCCAAGATCTGAGTATCTGAATGGCAGCTGGTATCACAGGACAGGGTGCTCATATTATTACACTTGAGATTTGTATTTCGAACTGGGTGAGAGGGAGGCATCTCTATGTAGCAACAGTTACTTCCAGAAATCCAGTATTTGAGATTGTTCCCACCTCTTTTTTGGGAATGAACTACACCTGTACTTAGCCCATCCTCTCAATTGAAGAAATACTCTCTTTTGTTATCAGGGGTCTCCATTGCCCAGTGAACTGTCCATCCTTCGTGCGGGGAAAAAAAAAATAGCACTGCTTGTTCATCATTCCAGGCTCGAGGGTGAGTAGGTGTTGCTGCAATAGAGTCTTTGTCGTTTTTTGTTTCCTTCTGACTAAATGCCCAGGCATTTAGAAGTGTGAGTTTTGCTCCTGGTGATCCATTAGAATTACCCAGTAGCTTTTCTACGATCCAGCAATTGCACTACTGGGTATTTACCCCAAAGATACAAATGTAGGGATCCGAAGGGGTACGTGCACCCCGATGTTTATAGCAGCAATGTCCACAATAGCCAAACTGGAAAGAGTCAAGATGTCCATCAACAGATGAATGGATAAAGAAGATGTGGTAGATATATACAATGGAATATTATGCAGCCATCAAAAGGAATGAGATCTTGCCATTTGCAACGACGTGGATGGAACTGGAGGGTGTTATGCTGAGTGAAATAAGTCAATCAGAGAAAGACATGTATCGTATGACCTCACTGATATGAGGAATTCTTAATCTCAGGAAACAAACTGAGGGTTGCTGGAATGGGGGTGGGGTGGGAGGGATGGGGTGGCTGGGTGATAGACATTGGGGAGGGTATGTGCTACGGTGAGCGCTGTGAATTGTGCAAGACTGTTGAATCACAGATCTGTACCTCTGAAACAAATAATGCAATATATGTTAAGAAAAAAAAAAAGAAGAAGATAGCAGGAGGGGAAGAATGAAGGGGGGGAAATTGGAGGGGGAGACGAACCATGAGAGACAATGGACTCTGAACAACAAACTGAGGGTTCTAGAGGGGAGGGGGGTCGGGGGATGGGTTGGCCTGGTGGTGGCTATTAAAGCGGGCATGTTCTGTGTGGAGCACTGGGTGTTATGCACAAACAATGAATCATGGAACACTACATCAAAAACTAATGATGTAATGTATGGTGATTAACATAACAATAAAAAAAAAAGAATTACCCGGTAGCTTTTAAAACACTCCAGTGAAATTCGAAACTCTGGGGGTTGGATCCGGGCACAGGTAATTTTAAAAGTCCGTCAGGTGACACTGACATGCCTCCAGGACTGAGTCACTGATTTAGACCCTCAGCCCTGCCAGGGTTGTTATTTCATAGCAAGGCCACTGTAAGGTCTCCAACTAAAAACAATGTTGCCATCTAACAGGCCTGTTTTTCCTTTGCCTTGGCATTCTGTTTGAAGTGTCCCGCGCTCCGTAAATTATCTTTTGAATTCTTCCAGTAAAAATGCCGTGATAAGTTTTTAATAATTAGTAATTCAGACAAAAATTCAAGGAAAGCCTGAACACTTACGAGGGTAAGAGCTGGGTCCCCGGGCAGGTGAGTGGTGACTGACTGAGTCAGGAGGCTGGGGCTGGGCTTCCGAAGCAAGGTTCTGAAATAAATAAAAATTAAAACACAAAGAGGAAGTCCCATCCGGGGGAGGTGCACTCAGATGTGGGAGAACGGCATCCCGGCATCCAGTCTTGTAACCGGTCTCCTGTGTGTACTTTCGTTTCCTCACAATCTCATTTCCAGACCAAAGCCGGAGTGATCTTTTAAAAATGCAAATCACTTCTCTGCTTACCACATTCTAGTCGCTTCTCACTACTCGTACAACAAAATCCAAATCCCGTTCCACGGACAACAAAGGCTCCTGCTTACCTCTGTGTTCCCAGCTTGTACCCTCCCCTCTGAGCTTCTGACTCTGCTCCAGGCACCCTCGGCGTCTTCTGTTCTTGACTAACGCTCAGTCAGTCTCCACTTTGGGCATTTGTTCTCGCTCTGTTTGGAGGGCTCTTTCCCCAGACCACACAAGCCTGGCTTGAGTTCCTGACGCCCAGCAGCCCCCCTCCTAGGACTCTCCACCTTCCATTTCCTTGGCAGCTGTGTTCCCTTCTTAACCAACTGAGCCACCCAGGCGCCCAGCTGTGTTCCCTTCTTAAAGCATCATGTTCATTTTGTCCCTGTTCTAGAAGGTGAGCTCTGCAACCCCAACTGTGATTCGTTCACTACCATGTCTTCAGCACATACAGAGCACCCATGTTGGTCCCTATTTCTCTCGAGGAACAGAAGAAAAAGTGCCCCTCTTGACAAAGGGCTGCAGAGCCTGTCCCAAAGACCCACAGCTCTAGGAGTCCCTTTGAGGTATTTAGAAAGACGTCTTCCTCCTTCCAGGTAGATGCAGGCCTGCACTGAGATGCACAGGCAGAAAGCAGCTTGAATGCCGGTCCTTACTTAGCCGGTGCAAGGGTAGGAGGTGGCCAAAGTGCCTGGAAGATGGTAGGTACCGAGTAACAGTTTACTGGGTGAATTTACAGAGGGTGGTTGTGGCAGTGTTCATCCACAGAGCCCATTCCCCTGTGTCTGTATGTAGTCACGGAGAGTCAGCAACGGACCAGCGGAATGCTGATAAAGGGGTAACAGTTTCATCTGCAGAAGAAACAATAGGCACCACCACAGAGTTGATAGCATTAGCCAAATTCCATGGTGTCAACAGTCCCACCATAGCCCATTTTCAGCTATTAATGTGATGCCAATGGCACATGAAATTCCTGAAAACTGAATACTTTTACCAACGATTATTACGATGTCACCAGGTTATACTCATTCCCGCCCACCAAATCAAGCCATACTCCAGGTTTGAGCCTGGGGCAGGGGCGGGGAGCGTCAGATTCCTGTTCAGAGAAAATGACTAATCCCACACTTGCTCAGAGCAGACACAGAGACCGTTCGTATACTGTCCGTCGGCATCTTCACGCATGTGAGGACCGGGAGACGGTTTGTCTTCTGGGTGGAATGGGGAGCTTCAGGGTGTTTCAGAAAATAGAGAAGAGTAATCTTAAGGCTGACGCCAGTTACCTAATCCATTGAACTGTGCTTCCTTCATCTATGGAATAAACAGTTTGGACTACATCCTCTCCATGTCAACTGAACAGACTAGGATTCTATTTGCCATTTGGGGATTCACGGGAAGGGAGGGCAAGCCTAGAGTGTCCGTGGTTTCTCTGTATGAATGAGTTTGTGCTAGGCATATCAGTAATATATCAATCTTTCTAGGCTAATGGGTATTTACCACACATTTCTTTTTCCAGTTGAAATAAAATGATCTAGGTTCAATTTGCCCTGAAGCTAAAAGTCAGGCTTAATAACCTCTCCAAATGCCAAGGACAGTATCTATGTGAGTAAGAAGCCAACTCTTGTCCCATTTTTTTTCTATCAGAGCTTGTATACTGATTTTCCTCCTTACTTCTCCACACACCCCATTTGACATCCTTTGTCTGACTGGGGATTTCAAGCCAAAGTTAAACACGCGCCCAGGCGTGCAGACAGAAAGGAAATCCCAACCGTCAAGCTGGGGCAGCATAAACCACTGTCATCAGGGGCTCAGTAACAGCTTTCGGAGTTGTAATTTCTGATGTTGACCTATCACTTGGCTGGGCAAACACTAGTGTGGAAATATATTATTACTACCCCTCTCCCCACTTCAACCACCAGAACAAACATCCAGCTTCCCAGAGAAATTTCGTGTGTGCACGGGTAAGACCAGAGCCCTCTGCTGCAGCCTTTAAACTGGGACACTGAGTTCTACGAGACTCTGCCGTCCTCACCCGAACTACTGAATCATGTTTATGTATAACTTGCATATTAAAAAGCAACAGCCACTGTCAATGGTGCCAATATAAAAATATCTTAATAGCCAGTAACTGACTAATGAATGCTACCGTAATAACAGTTTAATTTGAGGAATTCTGACAGCTGGTTGCTTGGATGAGCATGGTTTCCAAGGAGTCCTGTTCCCATGCTGAGAACATCTCTAGCCTGCTGATTGATAGAGGTAGTGCACAACTGTTAAATGTCACCACCTCTCAGCTAAAGTAATAATAAACAGGAATGTTATGGTTAATTTTTCTGTATGAATTGTTCAGGCTCTATCTGGTAAGTACCAACCAATAGGGCTTAATAGCTGCCATTCTCCTGGGAGTTGTTAACTGGAAGTGAGCATTTTTTCTTTTCTCGTTCTTTCTTTTTCTTCTTTCTTTCTTTCTTTCTTTCTTTTTTCTTTCTTTCTTTCTTTTTCTTTTTCCTTTCTTTCTTCTTTCTTTCCTTTTCTTCTTTCTTTCTTTCTTTCTCAGCAAGGTTTATATATCAGCATGAATGTAGCAATTCTTGGTTTTTCTGGTGGATTTATTTTATTCCTTTACGTAGCTCTTGCTCATCCCATTCTGCTTAGCAAATGTAATTATTCTGGTTAAGATGTAGCTTCCCTATTATTTCTGAACTTCCCAAGATGGTTTAAAGCAGACAGCTAGGGTATGAAATATATGGTTCTACAACTATCTTAATTATACTGCGTGACTCTGTGTTTGATATGGAATAGCAGTGTCTGGGAAGTGAATTTAATCTCTACAGATTTAGGACGATTGCCAAAAAGATTCATTGATTTTTTTTTCCAGACGCGCAATCTTTTATTGTATAAATGTCAGAAGCTTCAAATTATTAGGAAATGTGTCAAGAAGCTCAAGGTATAATAACATTCTTTAGAGAGCTTGATTCTGAAGACAGTGCAATGAAACGTTCAGAAAGAAAACATGTCTTATGTTCTTAGAGAAAAAAGCTCTGGGATTCGTTTTAATTTGTCATTTTGAACAGGATGAGGCCTCCACTGGGTACTTCGATGTGAAAGCCCTGGGTATGATGTACAGACTTTCCTCAGGCACCCACAGCTTTACAGAGACTTCAGCAGTCCTGGCCAAGAAGATATGGACTTGGGACCTGGGGCTTCGGAGCTAAACTATGAAAAATCACTGGGATTTGTCCTGGTGAAGAGGTCATGAAGAGGGGGTCATAAAAATAAAAAATGGACACAGTATTAGGAGCTATGTCACCAGCTTAGGCAGAGCTTTTCTATGTCCTAAAATCAAGGGACTATTCTTAGCACTGGGCAATGTATTACTTAGGGTGATTCTTATTGCAAATAATATAAAGTCTACGCTAATCGATTTGAATAAAAAAGAAAATATAGTGGTTCACATATCTGAAAAGTCCAGAAGTTGGGTAGGCTTCAGGCATGTGGGATTCGGAAGTCAATGATATCATGAAGGTGTGAGCTCCATTTATTATTGCCATTGCGCTCTAGCTTGTGCATGGGATTCGTTCTCAGGCCAGCTTCTAGCTATACTCGACTCCGTCCTTTGTCTAAAGATCTTGAGGTAAAGTCCTAAGTTTCATGCAGATTTGACTGCTGCTCTTATCAGAGGGTTCAAAGTCATGGATTGGCTTAGCCTTGGACCTCTTGGAGGCCCAAATGGAAAGCAGGAGCTCTTAGGATGACAGCAGTATGCTGGTGCAGTGGCCAATAGCAGAGTTTACAGAGATGGGCACAGTCTTCTTTCTGGACAAATAAAGGTTGACTCAAAGGCCAGAAGGTACAGAGCTCTTGCAAACCTCTGCACACCAATATGTTAATGTTTTCAAGCTAGACTGAAAATGTGGTAACCTATCTTCACTGCCTCAACAACCTGATCTATTTATTTAGCTTATCACTCAAGGCTTCCTGGTGTGAGTTCATCTGAACTTTCCAGTCGAGACTTCCACCGTTCTTCAGCAGGAACCCTACATTCCACCTGGGCTGTTCTGATCTCACCTCCATGCTCTTCCTCACTCTTCCCCCATTCTTCATTTGAGCAGTCACACCTGACGCAGCCCTGACTGTTGTACTGGAGGAGGCACAGGAGAGTAACTACGAATGGACTTGCTGGAATAAGACTGTCGGTTCAGACTCAGCTCTATTAGCAAGTTATTTGTCCTCACTCAGCCACAATTTCCTTGTATTTAAAAGGAGAATAGAATGGTTCCTAATTCAAGGGTTGTTGCAAGCATCAAATGAGTTCATATATGTACAAAGCTTAGAACAATGCCTGGCACTTAGCATGCATTCAATAAAAGGTAGCTATTATTATAATTCTTTATGAAATCATTCTCTGACCACCCCACATCTCTCCTCCCTCTGAACTACTGTGCTATTTTGGCTTGAATTCCTCATTCCACACTTACACATCTGTATGGTCAGATCACTTATATGGGATAGGAGGCTCCTATTAGATACTTCCTATTTCTCTGTATAATTCAATGCTATAACTCTGTATTACACATATCTACATATCTAGCAAATATTTACTGAAGAAATGGAATGCGGCTAAGAGTATTCCTATGCATATTCAGAAAGGATCACAGGTGGCCAAAAGTACCGTCTGAAAACACCCATGAAAATTCACCTTTCTAACAAATATTGTTTTGTGTACAATAAATTAAAACATTAAGTCTATGGAGCTAGGGAAAAGTTGATCAGTTGGTTATGTGTTACAGGCTTAAAAATTCCATTCTTTATGCAGG